AGGGGGTACCTCTGTGAAGGCAGGTATCCACTACAGCAGCCTGCAATGAGTGGTATATCTCCATGAAGGGTCACACTGTGTGAGTAGTAGCCCTTACAGCTCTTACCTGCACCAGCCTTGTGCAGCCCAGCATCACCATATCTGTACTGGGATGACCGATTTAGCTGCAGTACTAACAGGCAGCAGGTGTGGATGGCAAACTGGATGCTGACAGCATCAGCGGCTCATTGACTGGTGAATAACATCTTTGTGGCTCACTTCGTGGGATGACTGGACAGCCCTAAGGTATTGGACGCCTGACAGTCTGAAAAAGCATGAGCTGTAGGGTGAGTTTGCCTTCCAGCTTGTGCTTTATCATGTCTTCTTGCCAGCAGCGCTGAAGGTTACTCAAACCAGCAACATTCCCAATGTGCCCAGCTTCCCCTATCACTTTCCAATGTGAAGACTATGGTAGTCCCTTCTGAATTTGGATGTGTGTCTTCAAGCAAGCAACAGATAAGCTCTTAAATAAAAGGGATTGTATGAATGTCCACAGCAACAATGGAAAAGAGAAGGGTAGAGCAGAAAATGTGAAATAGGTTGAAAATTATTTCTAGATAACAGATCCTGGAAAAGGAGAAACTACTTGACAGCCTGCAATATATAAGCTGAAGTAATGTGTGAATGCTATTTTTATAGCGAGCCATACCAGTGGTGTGATCCTGCAAAAAGCTAAAGGTTTCTTGAGAAATGAGCTTGGTTCAGGACATGAGTCACTTGTAGGGGGAACCCAACATTGCCCTCTTGTTTCCAAGTATACTAAACTGGGTTTTCCACCTCCAGTAGGAAGTATATTTTTGAATATCATTACTTGAACAAAGACAGCATTAGCAAGTCAAATGAAGCACTTTTTTTTTAAAGGCCACAAAATGATGCTTTTTATACAATTTAGCATTTTTATATTCGTTCAAAGTGAATCAAAGTGAATTGTAAAATTCTATTTCAGAACCAATTTTGATTACTCTAAGATGTAAATTTTTGTTAGTGGAAGAAGGACTCAGAAATATTCCTTCAGCAATAGACTAATTAGTTCATCATGTAATTCCGATATTTGTTCACACATTTTAAAGGTGTAATCATTGTATGGCAAAACTGTATCTCTATTCCCCATCTGCTCAGTTAGAACAATAAATTATACAAAAATTGGCGCACATAACATCTATTATGAGGTCTTAAAATTAACTTTTATAGTGAATAAACACGGGCAATGATAACAGCATTTTTACAGCAGATTCTGATATGTTACTCTTGTGAAATATTAGCTTAACTGGAAGACTATTTGCGAAGGAAGATTTGTTTTGTTTTTATCAGCTCTAAATCTTTAAATATAATATAGAATACAGCATTCTATATTGCTGAACATGTTAAAAATTAAGAATTAAACTCAGCTGAAAAACATAAAGGGATATGTATTCCATGCTGAATTCCCAATACAACCATGATTTAAGGGATCGTGCTGATTTGGAAAAATTCTTTTTTTTATATTATTTACTTCACTTCCAGAAATATGCTGCTATATGTGTTATATTACTTCTTTGTATTTTATCTTCTAAAAAAAATTAATATATTTTATCAAAGCAGTTATCAATTATGATTTATAATAGCAACTGCTGACTAAAAACTACTTGGTCTTTAATGATATTAAATAAAAGATGTCATAATTATAACTGTAAAACCTAACACTATAAAAATTGTAATATAAAAATCATAATAGAAATATTGAAAGAAAACCACAAACATTATTTATTATTTACATTCTTTTTTTTAAATTAAGATTGACAAATGTCAGTATTCTGATATTTCCTTTCCAGAAAAATGTTATGCTTTAAAATCATAAACTTCATATGGAGTGGAATTTTAATGTACTGACCAACTCCACTGAAGTCCAATAAAAGCCACAGATTCCCATGGTAGACTATTCCTGTGCATGGCAAAGTGAATAGCTGGAAAGAGGAGAAAAAGAAGACTGAACCGGAAAAAGGAAATGCAGCTATCATAGAAAAGAAAGAAAGACAGAAGGCAAAGGGAAGCAATCAACCCCCCCATGTGCTTCTAATACACAGTTCTGGGAATACCTGGGAATTCTTGTAATGCCTGGGAATCTCCTACCAGCCTCAGCCATCTAACCGCCCACAGGCTCCTCTGTTCCACCAAATGTCTCAGCTTGCTTTCTTCCTAATTACAGGATGGAATCCGAAAACTGTAGATTAATAACCATATAGATAGGGTTGGAGCTGTAACTGGGTGACCTGGATGAAAAGCGTTATGGGAATTAGAGTATGACTGAAGGATTCACAGGAGCCGTTGTTTTCTCCCACTCCCTCTCCACCTATAACACATCCCAATTTTTCACTCTGAAAGAAGGACAGCATACACTCTGCAATTCCAAAACCACAACCCTTCATCTTAAGATGCCGATGTGGTTGCTAAGTAACAGCAATGTAGTTTATCTATCTGCCACATCACTCACATGCCTCGCGAACACATGGAAAGCAGTTATCGTAAATCTTATGCTGCCCATGTATTAAGATATGTATTAAGATAATAGTCTGTTCTCCTCAAGAATGAATTAAAAATGCTCTGAGAAATTTTAGGTAGTATGTTAAAAGAAAAAAAATTTAAAAGCTCATAAAAACATCTACATACGGACAAATTAAAATGGATGGACAGGCCAAACAAACAGCTGAGCCTACCACAAGCAGGTACTGCCTAGAGAACTGAGAAGGCAAAATAAATCTCCAAACTCAATGACAAGGTTTAATGGGAAGACTTAAGACTCTGTCTGAACCTAAAAGTTATCATCCCAGATGGAAACTTAGCCTAAGCAAAGGTAACAGAAACCAGCATAAGGTGTGAGAAGTGCAAGGAAGATAGATTCAAAAGGCCAGAAGAAAATGCAGTGTGAGATTTTTAAAAGCTCTCAATAAGTCTAACTTCAGACTAAAGGAAACCAGAGTTCTATCCACTGGAGGTTAGAAAGTCATGGTTAAATAGTGGAAAACTTCATCTGGTAAAGTCTAGGAAGCCAAAGATTAAAAAAAGAGAGAGAAAGCAAATGCTAAACGTGTCTAAGAAGCAAGAAACTTTCAAATGAAGGAATGGGTCTTTGGGACATCAGAGAGAGAAGCAAGCAAGGAACATAACGGCAGAGCTGAGAAGCCCAATGATTTCACACTGGACTGTATCAGTTCAGACTAGACTTATCCCAGATATACTCTTCCAAGTTATAAAAATGTCAAAAGATGAAATGCTGGAGCCAAATGATTAGCTGAGTAGGAGAGTCACCAGCTCTAGATAAGTTAAAAAAAAAAAAAGTGAATAAAGTTGCTGAGCTGCTATCAAAAGTATGCAGTCTTTTTTTAAAAAAAGCAGCCTGTTAGAAGACTGAAAAGTAATACAGGCATTAGGAATAACCCTGGAAATTACAAGACAAGAAGTCTTCTTTACTTCAGCTAAACAGTTAAAATTACCATCAGATGTAAAACATCTCTTCCGACACAACTGTACAGTTCCTGCCGTAGAATACGTATGGGGATGAACCCTTCTAAACGTGCACATGTATGTTTGTGTGCGCGCGCGCAGTAATAAGTTAAAGTTTGTAAGAACTCAGCAGCTCCGCTGCAAACTTCAGTGGTCCTTACCCATTCCAGCCATGGCTGTCCGAACCACAGTCGTCATCTTGGTGGTCTTGTAATGAGAAAGGCATTGATTTTCCTGTATCCGGGCTGAGAAAATAGGTTTGTCATATAGCATAGGCTATCTATAGAGAACTTTTCATTTGTAAATGTAGTGCCCTCTACTGTGATACTTTAAATCTTCTATTTCTAAGCTGTTTTTTGTGAACTTGTCAGATTGGAACTGCTTTCAGCTCTGTTAGCAAAACCACTCAGTTTTTACTTCATTCCCCACTGCTTCTTAGCGTAACTCTCTTCCTCTTGGAGAGTGTATGGTGGTTCCAAGTAAATGGCACTACCCTAAATATTTTTCACCCACTCTTAAAACATGTTTTTTGTTTTATTTTTTTTCAGCAGAGTAGTTATGAAAACATTAAACAAAAAGTAACAACTTCCTTCATTCTATTTTTAAAAAAGAGAGGAGATAACGATAGCCAAGAAAATCTACCAGATGGTTCTTTTAATAAATACATTAAAGTCTCTTTTATTTTTCTCCAATTTTAGTGACTAACATAACAGAAACTTTCAGACCATCAAACCAGTTTTCACAATCTGCCATAAGTTTGCATTTCACAGAAATAATCCTGACAAGCACTAATAGATGAACGTTGTTGGTGCAATAATAAAACAGTATAAGGCATATTTACACCATCCTTACATACAGAACACTGTACACACAAAAAAATCACAGATCCAGAACAAAGTAAATTCAATCCCTTAGACGTTTTACGTTTATAGGCTTGGTATCAAACAAACAATTCTCCAAGCAACAGACAACCTCTTGTTCTTGTGTGATTTATTTGTAACATTGTGCTCATGCAAAATAGGTATTTGCTTTATTGCATTAACATTGAAAGAACGTTGGAAATTAGTTCTGAAACCAGTTCAATTGAATTTTAAACCCTGTTTCTCTTCATCCATAGCAAGTCTGAGTCATTTTTATTGGTGACATAAAACGAGGCGTTAACTGATGATTGAGATTTTTATTTGGTGAGTTCCAAAATGATAATGAAGCTCAACTGACTACAGTTCGAAAACCATCTTTCTTGCCCATGCATATTTTTCTTTGCTATTATGAGGTGGTTTAGATGAGACAACTTTTGTATTTTTTAAGTTTCTATCTTTTTATATATATTTTTAAAGAAACCATGTACTATCCAACACCCACTGTTCACAGAAAGAAATAAGCAGTGGTGGCAGAGTTGGCCAGAAGGAGGACATCAGTAAGTTAGTGGCAACTTAATAAACATCAAATGCCCCAGAGATATGTCATGAAAGAGTTGATTACTATAACCCGTACTTCTGTAAGAGTTCGGACTGCCAGGGACGTTTGCGCTCTGGAAAGTAATCTGGAATGTGGATTTTTTTAAAATCTTGGATACATTTTCTCATTTCTTCCTCAACACTCAGCTTCTCACATACCTTCTTTTTGGAAAGATTTGTTTCTCTGGACTTGCTAATGAGAGTTTGAAAGAGTTCACTGTTCCTGCGTTTGTCTGGTGGTGGCATCCACTGCACCAGGGCCTTCTTTGATGGACGATCCAAAGTCAGAGTATTTGGCTGGTGGGCTGTGGATGGCTGCGTGCTGGTGGCATTTTCTTGAGGGGTGCTCGCTTCTGAATGGCTGTCACAGCTTGAGGTGGACAACTCATTACAGGAAGTCCCACTTTCACTGCCCTTGTCCAAGACTTTGTCATGCTTCCTTTCTTCGTGGTCTTGTTTGGGGGAAACAGTTCTCTGCGGGGGTCCTAATACAAGGCAGGAAAGAAAAAGTATTAAGCAAGCACTGGTTTACACAGAAAACCGATCAGTTCCCATTTAGAAAAACCTGACTCAGAATCTCAGCTGGATAAATTCGTGGTGTTTCCTTTCAGTCAAAAGAACTGGTACACAGTTTGGAGGTCTGGTCCTACACGTGTGTTCAGTTGTCAAAATTCTCGCTCCTGAAAATGCTGATGGCAAGAATAACTTCACTGCCTGCCTAAGAATCCAGGTAATGAAACGTGCATAATGCTCACAGATTATCTGCACCGGAAATCCCTGCAGGCAAGTTGAAATGAGCTAGTTTGCTATTATACCCCAAGAAGTCTATTATGAGAAATTAGATTTCGTAGTATTATGAAAATACTACCATTCAATTTGCAAACTCTTTGCTTAAACAAACATATTCCAAGGTCTTAGATTTTTTGGGGGAAGCTCTTAACTCACCTTCCCAGAACAGTCTACTGATATTTGAAAAGTCATGGCAGTCAGGTGAAGTCCCTGGTGATTGGAAAAAGGGAAACATTGTGCCCATTTTCAAAAAGGGTAGAAAGGAAGACC